AGAAGTTCAAGTGCATTTAAATGCCAACAGAACAATCCTAATTGTTCTATACTCTTTTCAAATTCTCTTTCTGGAGTGTAATTTCATCTCTCAAACAGAACTCATGGTACATTTTGAAATCAATATTTCCCCTTTTCAACAACTGTGATAGTTAAAAAGTGCCAAAAAGTAATATTCTTTTAGTTAAAAAGTGCCAAAAAGTAATAGTCTTAAAAGTATTTCCAATAAAAAGACAAACAATAGCATAAAGCTAGCTTTCAAATCTGCAATGGAAGGCACGATGTTATCTTTATGAGGGTAGAAATGATTGTTTATTGCCATATTTTATGTGTATGCATATCAAATATAAGTGAATTTCATATAAATTAAAGACCAAGGTGCCATTCTTTTCATTGCCTGTAATTTTAAGCTTAGCAATTATTTGAATCCATTATAGTAATAATCTAAATGAATTGTCACTGCACCCTAGTGAGAAGCCTTGGTTTCTGAAGATCATGAGTAATCTGTATTAGGGATACATTTTATTTTGAAAGTAAGGTGCAGCAGCATTGATGGAGCCTTTCCAATGAGGGATATTCTGTACAAATGTACACTTCCGTGAGCAGGGCTTGCTCTGTGGAATACAAAGTGACTTGCTAAAGCCCAAAGAAAAAAAAAAGTATTTTGCTTCTTCTTGGAACTCTAGCCAGAAAAAAAAAAAAAAAGGATCTACAGGATTCATTCGGATACTAAACAGAAATAGGTAAAGAGAAGACTTTAACTGGCTTCTCAGTTGTTCTCCTGAGCCTTACTTGGGTGTGCGAAAAAAATAACGTGCCCAACTCTGCTCTGAACAGATGGATGCAGAATCCTGGCCACCAACTGTTCACATCCAGGATCAAGTGAACTTCCTCCAATGTGGCCACTTTCCCCAGAGGGGCCCACAGCCGGCCAGAAATGGGCACTCCCTAGCAGAAAGCTGGTGATTGCAATTTTACAGCTCTGTTTATGGAAACTGTTTGGATAGAAAATCATTAAGCTACCTCTGCTGCTTCCAATCATTGTAGCCAAAAGTTAAGGTGCCAGCATCATTCACAATCTCTGGTAGGTGATCTCTGGATGACATTGTTATAAGTTGCAATAGGAAATAATGGGGCACCACAAGTATGCATTGAAAGTGTGCCTTTGAAAACATCTTCCCACTAGACAAGCAACCAAACAAAACTCCTTCGTTTCAGATAGTTCACATTGATTTTCTTTATGTAATTGTTATTGACTTTAGTCTTCTAATATTATTGTACTTACACTCTTACTTATGAGGGTACTTAGAAACAAGATTGAAATAAGTGATATTCTCCATTATGCATTCTTTGCAGAGAATGAAACCTATGGATTAAACAAATACATTTTAAAAAATCAAGGCCAGAACGTCTAAATATTGTTCTCTAGTATTGAATTGTTCTAGGTACATGGTACTGGGCACTCAATATATGCTTGTCCATTAGTGAACTGTTCACAAATCTTTGAACATCTCCTTAGCTTAAGTCTCAGTTTCTTACCCTATTCCCAGTGCTGGCAGAGCTTCTAGAACATAGTAGATGCTACGTAATCATTTGCTGAATTGAATTTATATAATTACATTAGTTCTGGGATTAATTGTGTAAAGGTGTGTGCGTACACGTGTGTGGTCTTTGTTAACGAACAGGCATATCTCTTTTAAAATTCCTAGGAAATCATTTGAATAATATAAGCTAGGCAAATGAATAACTCTCCTATACAGATTGTATGCTCCATTACAATGGGCTATATTTTCCTTTAGATTCGCCAAAACTGGCAATTTAGTGTGCCTTCCTCCTGGTATCCACATTTGAAATAGAAATTCTTGCTCCCATGAGCAAAACGACTTTAAAATTCTGCAACTTCCTGTTACTTAAATGTGTCTAGGGAATCCCTAAAGTTGAATAAATGCTTTAGGAAATCTGCCCACAGTCTCAGGCTGTGGACTTCCAGAAGCCGTAAATCAGTTCTTCTGAAAGGAAGAAAAGTGACAGAGCCCTCTGTACTTTGGAATTAGAAATGGAAACAATGTTTTTGAAGAAACTAAAGGGAGACAGCTGCAGACCAAATGAATTAAGGACTCCAGGGAGCTGTGGAAGACCTGTAAGGAAAATGAGAGCGAAGAATGTGAGAGAAAATACAGAGGAGGCAGTAGAGGAGAGAATTTTCAAAAAATGATTAGAAGGACTGTCGAATTGCCAGGAGAGAAACAAGCTGAATTTCCTTTTATGAAATCCCTAGTTATTAACTGCCTTGCTTCCTGGGTCTTCCAAAAGAGTAACAAAGAGACAGCAAGTGTGACAGCGAGATGATCCTGGTTTAAAAGCCTATATTCTACTTCCATGGCTGTTATGATTTGCCCACCTCCCATTGTGCCTGAATTCCCTTTTCATTTATGAGTTCTTTCCTTAATTGCTGGTTACAGAATTTCCTTAGACACAGAGCGTTTAGAGTCACTGGAGAAGCGACTGGCCAGATGTTTCTTTTTCTTCCTTCCAGAACTCTTAGTTGGGAATTGAAGAGGTATCCTGAAAGTCTTTTCTCTCCACAGTTCAGGGTTCTGGTACTTCTTAATGAGGAATCTTTCCTTTATTTAGGATATTTATACATGCGTTATACATAAACCTGTTTTTGTTTCGTTTCAGAGGAGGTAGTATGTTTTAGGAAGGTTGTTTACATATTCGTGGCAAGACACAGGTTTTACAGCCATCCCTCCCCCGTTGCTTTTTCAACAGCCCAAGACAGAGATGGTTCTGGAAGGAGTTGCTATCCCCTTACAGAGTCGGGTTGTCATCTTTTGTTTCTTTGTTGGCAGAGCGGTGGGGTGGGGGTGGGGGTGGGGGTGGGGTGATGAACGGCAGGGATCCAAAGGATTCCTGCCCAAAGCTGAAGGCGGTGTTGGAAAAGAGACGGAAGGGGAAAAAACCCCCAGCTCTTGATTCCCAGATTCTTTCCCCGAGAGTGTTCAGTTCGGTGCATTTCCTCCCCTCCGTGCTGCGCTGGGCTCACAATTCCCCCTTTGCAAATACCTGTATCGAAAACCAGGAAGATGGGAACACGCGGTTCCGATATCTCCCCCTGGCGTCACCCTATACTACCTCTCTTTCGAAAACCGAATCTGGTCCCCCTGCTCCGGAGCGCAGAGACCGTACGGCCCGGAAGCCATCGTCGCGCAGCTGCCACCACCCAGGGTGGGGAACAGCTGGAAGCTTTGGTGCGCGCCCACCGCGCCGAGAGCAACTCTTGCCGGTAATTAGCGCCAGCCAAGGCTCCAAATGTGCCTTATTGCAACCCCTAGCGGGCTCGCAACTCCGCAGTAGCTTCTCGCTTTCCGGGCCCTGCTCCTGCGGAGAAAAATTACAAACGTGCGTGCACACACACACATTCACACACGCCCTTCTTTCTTCACTCAAGAAAACCATCAGTAAACGTCTTTCTCCCAAAGAAGGTTCGACTCTTCGCGCTCTCTTTTCTTTGCCTAGCGGTGAACGGCACCGGCTAACACACGCGGGGTCTCTTCGCCGCTCTGCGCGCCCCCTACCTGCCTACGCGGGGGTGGCGCTGGGGGGGTAGGGGGTCTGGAAGTACGCGAGACTCCTGTTTCTCCAGTCGGTGCGGCTCCCCTGGCTCGGCACTTGGTATCTCCCACGGTCTTGCTCTCGCTGGGAAGCCGGGAAGGAGAAGGCGACTGTGGGCGTCGCCGCCGCCCTTCCCGGAACCGGAGCCAAACTCCAATAGGGCGCCAACGTCTCCCTCTTCAGTCTCACATCTGGCCCAGGCGTGCAGATGTTGGCGGCCAGAGAGTTCCTCCACGCGAGGCACCCCAAGTCCTGAGCATGCCCAGTAGGACTCCTAAGGCTCCCGAAGCGAGTTTCTGGACAAGCAGAATCCGCTTTTCCGCTTTTTCGAGGAAGCTGGAGAGGGTGGGAAAGGAGTGATCCAGGGCTTGGGGCAGCGCGCCGGGTTCGCGCGGGTACGTGCCCTCGTGCCCGGCGGGGTGAGGGGCGGAACTGGTTAGGGAGCCCAGAGACCTGGCGGCTAGGCTGGGCACGAGCTGGAGCGATGCCGCCCCCCCCCCCCATTCCAGGGGGACTTTGTCTGTGTTGAGCTGACACGCCGCCGGGAGGCTGCGGGTGGCCGGCCTTGGCGCGCTGGGGTCACACTGTCAGCTGGTGGCAGTCAGCGGTGCTCTCACAGACGGACGAGAGAGAGCGTGCGGGTCACTTATACACGGCACTCATGGGCACGGTTTTTCTGGAAGGGAGGGGGAGAGGGGAGAAAGAGGGACCCAAACAATTTCTCTCGCTTGCTTTTTCTCTCTTTCTTTCCTCTTCTTGTTTGTTTGTTTTTGCCAAAGTTATACTGGGAAGAGACTTCACATTCTAAGTCAGTCCTGCGGCTTCACAGAGCGCAGCAGTGCTCACGCTCCTTTGTGTGTTTGTGTGTGCGCGCGCGCGCGCGCGTGATGTGCCCGCGTGTTTGTGTATGTCATGACTATCAAACACTGTCCCAGGTTGGTCTTGGGGATGACAAACACTCCTCGGAACCCCATACATCACCTAACCCTCGGGAAAAAATAATAAAAGCTAGTCGTGAGAGTCTCCTGGCCAGGAACTCATGGTGGTATGAAATATAAATTCGGTCGATCTATATTTCCTTCCTCTGCTCCCATCTCCAGCTTTTTCCTTCCCGGTCTCCATCCTCTAACACCCTGATCTTTCTCATCTCGACTTCCTTTCCTCTGCCCGTTACCTGCTCCCTCAGCCTTACTCCTCCTCCTCCTGCCCCTCCTCCCTCCCCCCATCTCAGCTGCGGCTAAAACCTGGAGTCTTGGGGAAAAGGGAGGAAAAAAAAAAAAAAACCCTCGGCTGTAGAGCTGTCAAACCGGGCATGCTCAGTAGACAGGGCAGGTTTTTTGGTCTCGAGTAGCGGAGAAACATTTTTTGCACCACCGCTTACCAGCCTTAGAACGCGGCGGCGGCGGCCACGGCAACATCAGCACAGCCATCAGCCGTGCAGACGCCCCGCACCCGGGAGCGCGGCGGGCTCCGGCTTAGCCCGGAGTTCACCTTCGAGTGCCCCGGGGGCTGAGCTCACCCCTTTGGCTCGCACACACACGCACACTCTCTTTCACGGACACACACGCGTATACACACTCGCGCGCGCGTACACACACACACACACACACACACACACACACACACACACACGACCCCGGGCGCAAGCACCCTCCTGGCAAGGATCGTCCACTGGCGCGGCAGTAGCCAGGTTCGGTCCCTGCCCCCGGTGGCTGCCGGCTGAGAGCACCGCCGCCGCCGCCAGCCAGAGGAGAGCGATGCGGGGGCCCAAGCGGCAGCTCGAACAGTAATGTGGATTTACAGTCGTTTCCCGCAGGAACCGGCTGAGAAGCCTGAAGTCCCGGGCACCGGCGGCGCCCGGCGCGGCTGAGCACCTGGCGAGGGGGCGGGGGACCGCACCTGGGGACGCCACCGAAACTTGCGCCTGGACTAGGTAGGTGCGTTGCTCCGGGTCCCCATCTCCTTTCCTCTGGCTCGCGGCCTCCACCCCGAACCTCCCACCCCAAGGACTCGGGCGAACTTCGCCCCGAGGCTGCAGGGAACGGATGGCGGCTCCCGGCTGTGAACCGCGGGCTGCGTCCGCTCTGGGAGTCCTGCCCGAGGTAGCAGAACCTTCGCTCCTTCTTCTCTTGGTCTCCGCGGGGCCCGGGGCTCTGGACTCCCCGGGGGAGGTGGGAGGTCGGCCTTGTTCGCAGTTCAAGCTCCCCGTGGACCCTGGGGGCGCTGCCTTCGAGGGCTCCTTGGGCTTTACAAGCAACACTTTTGCCAACCAACTCCTCTGGTTGTGAAAGTCGGGGGGGGGGGGGCGGTGGCTCGGCTTTCGCGCATAGCCTGGGCGCTCTAACAAGTGGACCTGGACGCTGGGGAGGGGGGTTCGGTCCGAGAAGAGAGAGGGGTCGCTTCTCCTCCGGCATCGCTCCCACCCGGAGCGTTCGCCGGGGGCTCAGCCCCCTGAATCCTGCTGCTTCCTTCTCTCCAAGAGAAGATGCCCAGGGGCTAGGACACACTTTAGTACCTGTTTGCTTCTAAATTTCCCTTTGCACCTCACTCGAGGAGCCCAGATTCGGAGGGGGGGGGGAACTCTAGAGCCTCCTAACCTAAGCCGTCTGGGGCCCCACCCGATTCGTCCTCCCTGCACCCCAATCTTTGTCAAAAGAGGCAGTCAGTACGCAGTAGTCGGTGCTCTGGGAGCCGTCGGTGTTGGCTTTAACCGCGCGCTCAGCTTCGCGGGTTTGTGTGTTTTTTGTATTTCATTCTGAGACGTGGTCCCGGGAATCTAGCAGCGGCCAGTACAACTGCGGAGCGCCAAGTACCCTCTAGGCATGCCTGGGGAAATGTAACCTCATTTTCTTCCACTGTACAACGGGCGGATTGACCATTCAGGTTTAGGGTGCTTTTCCTAGAGGTGGAGAAGGGAGACTTAGCGCGACTTGGTGAGTGGATGTGTTTACAGTCAGGAGTGCATTTAAACATTTCAGCAAACCCAGTGCATCCAGTTGTTTACATTTGCGGAGACGGACGATCTCACTCCACTAGTAGATGTTGTCTCCACATCTATTTCGCCACCGGGCGAGTAGGGGCGGGGGCGAGGGCTGGTTTGCAGCTCCAGCTTGCCGTCGGCAGCTTCGGGTTTAGCAGATCTGCATCACTGCTACAGGCGATATGCTAATGTGCGTAGGAAAAGTCCACATTTTCAGTTTGAAGCAGTTGGTCAGAAGCTGCCTGAACTTTCCCGTTTTGTTTTGTTTTGTTTTTTTCCTGGACTGTTAATCCCGAGGTGTATTTGAAGTGGCACGACGAAATGCAAAAAGAAGTTTCTGGTGTTAGTGAAGGGAAATTAGTAGCCATTCGGTGTTAGTAACCGAAAGGAAACGAAATACCCCAGTGGACTCTAATAGGTACTGTTTGATTAACATTTAATTGATCGCGTTTGTGGTAAGTAAGGGTCACAGACAGATTCCTTGAATTTTAGATGGCTGTTCTATGATTATAACTAACAAACCAGGTACACTGTACTGGGAGGATCAGTCGCAACTCTTAACCTGTTGGGGGAAGACATTGCAAATGTCTGCTTTATTACTGTCTTTTGGCTGAATATCCTGATTCATCTTCCTAGTCCGAAGACTTTCGATTTGGAGCACAGGGTACTTAAGTGCTGCCAAGAAACAGTACAGTCTAAGAAGGAAAGGATTTTTTTCTATTAAAAGGAGATCCATAGCTTTACCTTATGCTCTATGATTACCCAGCATTTGCTACTTTGCTCACCTCTCCCCCCCCCCTTTGCTTTTCCTATCTGCAATGTGGGGGAAAATGAATTTTTATAAGACAGTATGGCCCTCAAAGTAAATAAATGGAAAAGCAGAATCCTGGTTTTTCCCTTTTGGTCAAAATTTATAAGACTTTTTTGGGTGATATGTTAACTAATTTACTATTGTTAAGTTTTTTTTTTTAAGGTAGTTAAAAGCTTTCAAGCATGCCCAGGTAATGTTGGAACTTTTTAATGATAATAAAAGTCACAAGATACTTGTGAAGAGGGGTTCAAGTAATTTCTAAAGTGAATCCATGTTTTAAATGTTATTTGAAAGTTTTCAGATTTTCCTCCAGAATGTTTTTGATAAACAGGTGTTTCTGGAAAACAACTCTACAAAAGAAATGTTGACATTTGCATAATAAAACTAATAGAGTTTAGTCTCTAGGACAATGTCAGGCACAGTAGGAAATGAGTATTTTTTTAATACATGAATTAGTATTTACCATTAGTTCTAGGTCCCCTTTATGAACGAAATATACAATGATGCTGAAGGAAAGAAGGCTTTGCAGAATCATTGTGCTGTAAGGGTGATAAAGAGAGACTCCAAATACTCAAATATATAGGAGTGTTACAAAGTAAAATCAGATTATGTGTAATCACCGTCTCATTCAAAGGCCTAATTGGAAGTCCAAGTCTGAACACCTTACGAGTCTCATTGTTTCAGTTCAGCTATCATATGTGTGAATAACACTGACATAATCATAGTTTCCCTTATAGTCATTGTACCTTCCTGATGCCTTTAATACAAAGATTCTTGCTGAAGCAGAACAGCTCAGTATTTAAGTTTATTTTGTACAGTATTACCTTAAATCATCAAACTGCAGAATATTCTTTTGATATGTTGCCTCTGAACTTTATTTCCTGTGACAACCTTAAAAGCTTGGAAGTGGTAAGAAGCTTCAGTGTTAGTTAACATTAACACATTTTTTCCCCATTCTATGTTAGAGATAGCAGTTAGAATCCATGCAATTTTTGCTTGAAGGTTGCTTTCCCCAAAAGTCCATCACTTTTAGTTATCAAGTGCTTAGTACAGATTATGGTCAATAAATCCCCTAAGGTTTCTCAAACTGTTTATTTATTTACTCACTTACTTAACTGTCCTGAAGTCAAAAGAAGACCAGTACTTTGCATACTCATGAATTTTTTAATGAAAACAAATTTTTTAATGGTACTCACATTTGTTCTCTCTCTCTCTCTCTCTCACACACACACACACACACACACACACACACAATCTAAAGAATGCCAGGCATCATATATAAAACATGTATAATAATTTTATTAAAATTCTATATATTTTTAAAATTCCTGTCAATTTACCCTCAAATGTGGGAATCCATGCATACTTAAAACAAAGAAGCTTTCCATCATTTACCATTTGGCATGAAGGTTGGAACTGGATTACTAGTGCTACAGGCAGATTAAATTATGAAGAATATTGTAGGAGAGAGTATTTAGCAGTTATGATCAATAGCATATATCCATAGCTGGGAATGTAGCTGCTGCTGATTATAAAAAAGTTAAGAAAAATCAAATTTCAAAACCGTTTCCATATACAGTAAGTGTTTTAACTCATCTGCAGTTTCTGAGTATTAGATTAAATTGCTATTTTGAATGTAGACTGTTAATTTTCCTTCCCCTAAAAGGTAAAACATTCTGAATCCTGGCTTAATATGTTATTTCTTTCTGGTATTCTGGCTTAATCTATCATTTCTATTTCTTTCTGTTTTCCATTAATTTTTTTGGAACTGAGGAAAGTAAATATCAAGTAGAACCAGCTGGAACTGTGCTTAATTTGAGCAGGTGAATGCTAGAAAAGATTTCACACAGCTTTTGATTATTCCTAATAACCTTGGTGGTCTAACCATACATGTCTTCAGTATATGGTACTCTGTTATGACAATTATATAATTATATAAGTATAGAGATTTTGTAGTTCGCTAGATGCAAATTGGTACAATTTAGCAAGACCAACAAAATCCTTACATTTGGAACCCATGAAAAATAAGGCTAAAGAAATTGGAATTTGATGGCATAAACTGAAAATTATTGTATAACAATATTTATATCAATTGCACTGCTTACATTTTTGTACATAATCAAGGGAAACTAGTTTTAGTTGGAGATAGTAAATATTTTTACAGTTGATGTTGGATTCCTAATATTTAAAAAATAATTTAGAGTCTGATAAATAAAGCCTGTTAAATTCTTATGTAACTTCAGGACTCATTTCTAGATCTGGAAGTATAATCTTGGATAGTTTACAAAAAAATCTTTTACTTCCTGTCCAAGCCTCCACGTTAGGTAAACAATAGCATATGGTGAAACATGCATATATGCCAACTAACCACTACCTCTTGGATGATGTTTTCAGTGTGATGTAATGATTCTGAAATATTGGGTTCTCCATTCCCAGTCTACTCTAACTGTATGAGTGGAGAAGTTAATTGAAAAATGGACATAGGAAAATGTGTTAAATGATCTCTTTTCAAATCAGTGGATCACCCCCTGTGAAGCTCTTACTCTGAGTCTTCATATCTGTGATTATGGTAGATATGGGCCAAGATTAGTATTTTTTTCTGGGTGCTTATGAAAGGTCCCTATGGCTCTATCTCAAATGTGTAAGTGAAATGTTCCATCAACCGTCCAGCTGTTTGGGGTAATGCAAACAAACATCTGGTTGGTTGAAAGATTTTTTTACTTCGTCTCTGGATGTTTTGGAGTCATTCAGGTTGATGAATCTTAATATCTATGTCAAAAAAAAGAAAAAAAAAACTAAACAATTTAACATAATGTAGAGTACCTTAAACACTCTTGGATTACTATAAAATACATAATAAACTATATGCCATCCTGAGTCTACAGCTTTCAATGAAATGTATAAGGAGATGTTGTTTGCACCCCTTAGCAGTTAGGAAGACAGAAACACACTGGCTTTTCAACAAGCCAGGATATTAAAAACTTTAACTTCGATTCTACCTACCTCCTCCACCCCCGCTACTGATTCATCGGTTTAAAGAAATCAACTTAAAGAGTTTGATATGTTGGCTTCTTACAATTTTCTACACCTCATTTTCCACTGATTCTTCTACTGCCATGGAAACTAGACGGGACAGACAGCTGGGAGTCACTAATTCAGGATGGGAACCTGCTTGTTAATTTAATTTCATGCCAGCCTGTTGGTCCCTGAAAGTAACCATAAAAGGCTGGGGAATTGAATTTGCGAGCAATAAATGATTAAGCAGAACAAAAATCAGTGCCATCTCTGTCATTTTCCTGAAGATCTTACTGCTTACCCTCTTTGTCCCCAACTCATGCAGTTCTTTAAAAATAATCACAGAAATAGAGGTTTGATTTGTGCATTCCTGTTGGTATTTATGTGCGCTACAGAGCGTTTTTTTTTTCCCCTATGAGGACATTTGCGTCTGTAATATAGTTTCATAATAGCTATTATATTGAAAAAAATATGTTCACTCAAATTATGATTTTGTAGACGTTGAAGAAGCCTAGTTAGTGATCATAGTAAAGTTAAATATAAATGATGCTTGAATTTTCTGGTAGGATTGGTTATTTTTACTTTCCAAATATAAAAATAATTTTATT